TTTTAGCGCTGCCATCGAGTGGCAGGCAAACAGCTGAGAATAGTCTGGATTTAAATTTGATATTTAATATATGCTTCTTTTCAAGCTAACTTTATTTGCACTAGACTCGACATCTAGCTTTACTTGGTTTTCTAAAATAATATTAGCTTGGCCAGGGCTCTGTTATAAATCTCCAAAGAGACATTACGATAACAGCTTGGCTAAATACGTAAAATGCCGCCTGGTTAACAACGTTAATGTTATTTAACAGTTAATAATGTTACTTACAGCTGCTTAACATTGAGCAGTTAACAGTGTGCTGTTTGAAGCTGCTGTTATTTATTATTTATGCATTAAATATTGCTAATCGAATTATTTACTTTCGGTTTCTTAGAAGTTTGAATAGGTAAAATTAAAATATTTTTTAAAAAATACATGCATTTTGCAATGAACTCTTTTTAACAAAAAAAGTTGCCGAAAACACTTTTTTTCTGAAGAATAAAACAAATTTTAAATTAATTAATGAATGTATAGAATTTAATATAAAATCGAATGATTACTGTAGATCAACCTTATGGAGATCTCCATAATTCTTAGATGCAAAATATCTAATGAATTTTAATCATTAAATTAAATCATTTTTTAAGAAAACTTTAACCTATTCTCAAAAGAGAACTACATATTTTCAAAGCTTTGTAGCTGCTCGCAAGGTCGAGTATGCCTCGAATTTTGGCTGGCAATTCGATAACGCCTGTTGGGTTCCCATTGTGGAGTACTGTCCTTTATGGGCCTCTTACTTGTTCTCATTTTATGACATTTTTAAGTAAGTCGCAAGACACTCGCGAGTTCTTTTTTTTTGTTTTTTTGTTGTGTTTTTGTAATTGAATGCGTTAAATTACAGCAAATTTATGCCTATTAAGTTTGGAATTTTGTTGTTTTTGTTGTGTGTAAGGCCCACGAGTGCCGTTTATGGTTATTTAGGCGCAGGCACTAAGTTTTTTTTTTACGATCTAGCGACAGGCGGCAAGTACCAGTGGGATGCGGATAGGGATTGGCCGCATAAAAAATGCTTATTTGTAAAGTTTAGTGGCGGCAGCGCTGACTCATGCGATGCCCTACAGGTGCCCCGCCCCCCAAAGAAAAAGACAGACGCCAGCTTTGGAGACTGGAGCAAGGTTACGACTAACTCGAAATCCAAGAGAAGCTCACCTAAAGTTGGGCTGGCGCCACGGAAATGCAGAGCGTGTAACTAAAACTTGTTTTTCTTACAGTGCAGCTTGCTTAACGAGTGGCTGGGTCGGGACCGCGGTCGGTGACGGTTGGGTGGGTGAATGTTTGGGTTGCTGCCCGCTGGCGGCCTTGAAAGTTGTGCAACTTGCTGGGGACGAAGTCGAGCGGAAGTCGAAGTCGTCGCTGCCGCTTCTCGATGTGGATTATCCGCATTACCTGCAGGCGTCAGTGGCGTCTCTCGCAGGGGCAAACTTTTCCCTAAAAGTGGGTGCCAAGCGCTGCTCGAGCTGAAAGTTGCCGCAACGGCAACGCTTTGCTTTAGACGTACAGTGGCTGCCAAATGCTTACCACCACCACCACAAAAAGACAGTCAGATAAGAAAGTTTTTGGCTGATCTTAAATTTTTCGTTACAGCTACAAACAAATTGTTCAGTTGGCCAAATCAATTGTTAAACAAGTCGGAAAAACTAAATTTATATTTAATAATAATTTTTCGTTTAAAATTATAGTTCAAATATTTATATGATATATGATATAAAAGCTTCCTTTTTTTATTTTAATTTTATAATATTAGTTAATTTAGTTATTAAGTATATATAATTGCATTGTTTATGTGTGCATAAATATTTAATTTTATTTAAACCAAATATTTAAATGTTCGTTAGGTATTCTAGTATTTTGGTCGTATTTTAATTTGCTCATTCATTTGATTTGTATCTCTTTAGTTGTCGTAAAACTCATTAAATGCATACCAAATCTTTTCCTTTTAACTGCATGCTCTCATCAGTTTGCCACGCCTTTTGCAGACGCCACTGCGCTAGTCTTACTTCAAGTTAAAAGCGTTGCGTATGTAAATGAAAGCCCAAAATATGTTGAGGACATTTTGAATGTCCTGGCTTTTGGCTTTGCCCACGAAAATCCAATAGAAATTTATGTCATTTAAATTTTTCGCAATGCATAAAATGCCTTAAAAACAAAATATATGACCAGCAATATATAGTCGAAAGCCCCCCCACGTTGGCAAACTGCAGGAATCGAAGGGGGAGGCGAGTTGAAAGCCGGGTGTAGGGACAACTTCAAGGTGCGCAGAGCCGCTCGAATTGCCATGAAATTTATGCGCCAACTGCCAACTGGCTGGCAACAACAAGTTGACAACATTCGGCTGAATCTCTGAAATATTGTATTTTCCCTTTTGCCCCGCCCCGCCAGCGCCGTCTGCTTCTTTGCTTTTGGCAATTTTCAACTGCTGATTTTCCAATCAGTGCGCAGTTTGTTACAGCCACGGAAAGCTTATTGAAAATATTTGTCCTGCCACGAACTTGAATGAGACTGCGAATGCGAATGCGAATTCGAATGCGACGCCATCTTCATTAGTCTTTGTCTCTGTGGGCAAGGGGGGAAAGTGCGAGCGGCAGACGGAAGTACAGGGCAAGGACCATCAAAGATTTGCCAGTTAGCGTCCACTGCGTTACTTTAGTTTAACTGGGCTGGCAGAAAAGGAAAAATCAAGAGCTTTGAGTGGAGTATCTTCTATTCCTTTTTTTTTTCGTGTTTCCACTGCATTGCAGCAGTTTGTAGCTGAAGCCGTTGCCATAGATTTGACCAAAGATATGTAATCGAAGGGAAAATACGAAGCCATAATTAACAGTAAGAGCCCTGAAGACAATGAAGCATTTGGCTTTTTCACTGCACTGCAGCAGTTCGCATTAAGGACATATAATTGAAGATTGCATAAATACGAAGCCTTAATTAGGAATAAGAGCCCTGCAGATATTGAAGCACTTGACTGGCTTTTCCTTACCATTTGCACTGTACGGCCGCAATCTGCAGTAACGAAACATATTAAATACTATAGTAAATCATAAAATATGAATTAAAAGGGACGATCTTTAAAATATTATAGAAATCAATTTGAAGTTTAGTCCCTGCGGCATAGGTTGCAACTCCTCCCCGAAGAGCTGTTACTTAATGCTAATGCATTTCGTTGCCGTCAAAGTGGAAACAATGCAACTGGAGCAACGAGCATCGAGCATCGAGAATCGTGCGTCGCTCGCTTGTTATTTTTGACAACAGCGGCTAACACATGAGACTACCCTGCTGCCCGCCCTACCCCCCCTACCCACCCTGCCGACCAACCCAAGCTGCGGCTCAGCGAACTAGAAAAAACAACTTCTCGACTGAATGCAAGTTAGGAAGGCGAAAAAAAAACTTGAAAACTGCCAGTGTGTGCGTATATCCGTGTGTTTGTGTGTGTTGGTTGCACACTGGGGAGCAGCTGTAGATTTGAAGTAGGCTCTCCCGGGGCTCACTCTGACAATTGTACGAGAATTTTTTATATTTTTTTTTCCTATACCTTTTTTTTTTTCTTTTCGAAATATTTGTCTCATTGCCGCGCGTTTACTTTTTTTTCAGCTTTGGCAATTGCCGAGCTGCTGCGCGGGCAAACTAAAAAATATGGCCAAGTTTTGGCTCTGGGCGATCTCCATGGTGCTTCATGGGCGATGGCAATGGCGACAATGTGAATTTATGGCGAGCTACGTGGGAATACACTCAGCTAGCTACCATATGGATAGGTATACATATGTATAGATATATGTACTCATATCTATATACATATATCTTACCTATATACACTTCTATGTATCATGTGTGGCTTTTACATTTTTCGCTCCGTTTAGTATTTGTCATTGGCTGGGGGTTTTTTTATCTTGTTTGGTCTGCTTAAAGCGCCGTGAAAATGTTGGCCAAGAAAATTGAAAAATCCGATGTGGAATTGAATAATATGGTGGCACGCGAAAGCAGCTTAAGTGGGTGGCGGACGGCGGGCGAGCAAGTGCAACAGTCAGCGACGCTCTTTGTGGCATGTTGGTAATGTGACAAGAAGATTTATGCAAAGTCCTGAGAGTTGTGCATTTCGAATTGATAGCGGCACACACGGATTTGTACAACAGGACCTCTAAAGTTTTATGTAGCCCGAGCTAAGCTCAACAAAGGACCACGAGTGGTTAATAAATTGGGTGGAAAACAAGCAAGGATAAGTATATAGAAGTGGCTAAATATAGAACTTTAACGACACGCTATCCGGAAAAAATGTAATAAGCGAAAAGTTATAGATCTATTTATTAATTGATTGATTTGATTTGTTGATTGCTTTACTGAAGTGACATGCCCAGCTCAAACTTTATGCATGCGAAGTCGAGGTTTTGAAAAATTCCACTCGAAACTGCGAAAAATTAAGTGTTTTTCATTTGATCGAATTCAAACTCATATCCAAATGCCTTTAAACGTATTTCATACCTTTCCCGAAAGCTAGTGAAACCTTTTTTATTACAAAAAGGGTTTATACACAATTCTGACAACTATTTTGAACGGGTAGCGAGGTCTAATCTAAAATGTTCAAGACCGTTCCGCGCCTACTAAAAAATTAAAAAAAAAACAAATAATAATAAAAAATGTATCCTTATATTTTTAACTTTTGAAACAACCCCAATGATTATTATTGGATGGCCAAGTAATTTTTGAATCCACATTAAATTCGCAGTTTTAGTTATATATCGAATGCACAAAATATTCTTAAAGCTAAAGACGTGGGCTGCATTTAAAATTAAATGTTCGCCTTGTGTGAAATCCACTCCATTAATAAATTAATATTAACAATTATATATTTAATTAAATTCGCTAAAATGTTTGCGTGGCTTTTCACACTTAAATGCGTGTGGGTGTGTGGGGGCTTATGCAGAGTAAAAGTGTGTTAAGGAGGCTAGGCTGGGGGGTTAAAAGCGAGCACTCACCTTTAATTATCACAAGGAAGATCACCGCGACAAACAGCGTGCACGACGTAGACGAGTCCATGTCCTTGGTTTTGTTGTTTGCGTTGTTTTTAGTTTGAATTGCGAGGACCGTTGTTCTTGTTGTTATAGTTGTTGCCCCGTTGTTATTGCTGTTGTTGTTGTGCGAGTGAAAGTGTCTGCCACAAGCTGCAACAATGTGTCGCCTGTCGCCGCGGGTTTTAAGTAGCCAGCGCCCAGCGTCCCACCTCGCTAGTCCTGGTACGTTGCCGTGATTAACACTAAGGCCAAAAGACAAACGCGTCGAGTGGGTCAAAGTTCAGCGCAGCGTGCCAAGCTATGAAGGCCAGTTCTGTTGCACTCTATCTTGCCCTCTCACTGCCTTTCTTCCTCTCCCTCTCTCTCTCTTTCTCTCTGTCTCTTTCTCCGGCTGCAGCTTGTACACTTAATTAGAATCTCTGTCGCTTATATTTCGCTTGTAGCTTGCTTTTGATTTAGAATTTGTCTCTAATCCACTTTCTTAAATCTCTGCACAAATTTACCAGCAAAATTTCTTAATTCCGTTCTTATTTTCCCTCCCGCTATTATATTTTCTTTCTCTTTATTTTTTAATGTTATTTGTTTGGCAAATATTTTGTCTATTTTTTTGCTCGCCTTCAGAATTTTTGGCTCCTGCGGTTTGTTTGCACTACTTTTATTTTATTTTTAAATTTATTTTTTGAGGTTATGGCTGTTGCAAATTTAATTTCCGGTTTTCTGGTCACGCATTTTCAGCAGGCTCTTTATTTATTTGTATTTTCAAAGTTTTGGTTTGTTTTTGTTTTTGCTTTTAATTTACATAATTTGCACTTGAATACTATTTTTGCTTTCTGTATTTTTTTTCGAAAGAGCTTGAGAAACCGTAAGTCGCAGTTGTTGCTGTTGTAAATTGTATTATTTTAGTTTAGCTTGTTCAGATAAATATCGTTGTTTCGTTCAGTTGTGAAGAGTTGCCTGAAAGAAAAGTAAATATGAAAATTATCAACATTTTGCTTGTAAAGTTCAAAAGGTTATTTTAGTGTTATCACAACATTTCTAGCATAGAGATCTTCGAGATTATAAGGTAAATGTGTTAAATCGTGATGAGTATCTAATAGGCGAGTCTCTGGTCGAGTTTCTGGGAGATTATCGGACTAAAGTATCGTAGATCTGCAAGCGAAACGAACAAATTGTATACATACATATATGTATATAGTATGTCCACAAGGGTTTTGCACGGGTATTACATCTCTGCTTAATCCTCTTTCTGTACTTAGCTTCGTTAACTACTTTTTGTTTGAATCAAACCAAGTTTCAACAGTCTGAGCAAAAAACTATAATCCCTTTAAATGCAATCTCAGTTATTTTCGCTTTTAGAATTTATCTTTCACTATGAATATAATTTAGTTTTACCGACAAATGAAACTAAAAAGATAAACTTTTCTTTTTAACAGTATCTCATTAGCCAATTCCCCTTTTACGCCGTTTTTTTTCGCAAGTTTCGCTTTTTGAAGTTCATATTTCTCGGGCCACAACTTAGCAGGTTGCGGTTGCCTCCGAATGCCAACTGGGGGAAAATGCCAGAAAAAAATGTTTATATATATATGAGTATATATATTGTGTATATATATTTACGGCACGCAGTTCTTTGAGCCGCGTCGGATAGAAAACCACAACAAAAAGTTTGCCAGACTTAATGTTTAATTAAAAATTGTGTACACTGTTTAACCCTATTCTAGGCTTTGACCTCATTACTGACCAGAGCCGCCTGCTTTGTCACCTTGGTTGGGCACCCTACTCAGCACGCCCACAGGCCCAGACGCCCAGCTCAACCCGGCGGCGCCCACATTGATTAGTTTTTTGTTTTCGGTCAACAAACTTGAGTAAATTAAAACAATGAATTTGCGTAAAAGCGCGCGAAAACACAAAAACATAAAAGGAGCAAAACAAAATGCGCGCCTGGCGCAAATTAAAAATCCATAAAAAAAAAATGCTTTCGCAGGCGGCTGCCAATGGGCGGCGCCCACAAACGCGTTACTGATGCTCGAACAGAGTCGAAGAGGGGGGCTATGGGGAGTGGAGCATGGAGCATGGAGCGTGGAGCGTGGAGCCGCTGGCAGCTGACTGAGAAATGCAGTAATTGAAATACATGCGGCGAGGCTGCGTGTAACGTTCCGCCTGTTTCGCAAATGAAGAAGAAGAAGAAAAAAGTACTATAGCCTGCTTTCCTGCATTCCCTCCATCCCGCCCACAATCATTTACACGTGCGTGGCACTGCGTATACGCTTTAATTTTTAAAGTCAACCAGAGGGTATATTATACATCAATCAGTCGTTATGCATGATAAGTCCCATCTCACAATTGGTACACTCAGAGAAAAAATATATTCTATAGCTAAAACCTAATCAAACCAATTTATTTCTTATTATTACAAAAACAAAACTTTTGAATTAAATATAAATCGTTGCTTTGCTTTCAAAATTGAACGTTTCAGAAAATGAGGAAAAAATACTTTGATAAAGTATCTTTTTTTTACGAATTTTCAAACTAGAAATAAGCTAAAGCCGTTCCAAGCAGATGAAATGTTGTGCAGGAGTCTTGTATTTTGGAATTTCAGGATTAGGTAAAGAATATGAAAAATGTATACCGCAGATTAAGAACTTGCGTTCTAAATGCTTAAATGCATTATAATTTAGATTCAGTTCTATATTTAAAAATTGTTTTTAGGAATTCCGGCATTGGGAAAAAACTTCCTTAAATACGAATGTAATTAAACAATCGATTCAAGTTAACTTCTTATGAAATATTTGCAGACCAGTTACGCGTTTTTTTTTTTTTTTGGAAGTTATTGTTTTAACTGTTTAAAAGTTTCTAATACTATTTTAAAATAAAAAATAATAATAATATTTTCAGACCTTAAAAATTGAAACAACCTATTAAATGCGCCATTTTTTTCAGGACCATATTTCATATAAAAATCGAGAATATTATTGTCAGACGATTGCTTGGAACTTGTTAACGAAAAAATGCAAATGAAGGTAAGCTTCAACTTTTATTAATTTAATTTTTATTAAAATTTAATATCTAAATGAATCTGCAAAGAAAAAGAAGAAATTTCCTTTATGTCTGCCTTTAAAAGGGTATCTAGGCTGCGGCTGGGCTGAAAATGTTTCGTTTTTGGTGGATACTTTATTTAATTCGCAGTCGCAAACAACATTACCTATTTTATATAAAAAAACGCAAGTTTGTCTTTGTTTGAGAACAGTTGCTCCCACCCCTGTGCCGCCTACTCTATGCTCTTCGCTTCCACCCTATTTGATTTTATTTTGTCTATGGCCGCGTCAGCTGTTTGCGTAATTAGGGGCTTTATGAGTTATGTGGCAGGAAATAAAAGGAAATGGGGGGAAAGTTTAAATTGCAGAGACTCTTCGGTATTTTCTAGTACTCGCCTGTGATTTTGTTTTTTATTCTTTTTGCGTAGGGGGATATTTTTCATTGTTTTTATTATATTGCTTTGGCCTTGTCGCGGTTAATTAATTTCAAGTTTAGTTTTCGTTTTTCGTCTTTTGTTGTGCTTGCGGCAAAGTTTTTAAAGTTAATTTAATGCTTCACCAATGCCTCGAGTCAAACACAATGAGCCTTGAAATTGGAAGGCCCGACTCCCACCTGCCGCCACCTGACCGCAACCCATTTTGGCCACTAAAAGTTGCAATCACTGAGGAGCGTCAATAATAATAAAAAAAAAAAAGGCAGGACTCCCGCTTGGCCCAAAGTTGAAGTCGCTTTTTTAGGCTCCCTGCGGACAGGGCTTTACACGTCAGGGCGTTACATTTTTCACACATTACAGTTTCAGAGTTGCCGCCTTGCTGCTTTGCAGAGTTGTCGAGTTGTTTAGATTGTTTGCATAGCTCTCTCCCGGCAGGGGATTCGCTTTTAGGCGTTTACTTCTCTTTTTTTGCCTGCTTTTTTTTTCTCTTCTTTTTGTCACCTGAAGAGCTCTGTTCATAATTGAACCCTTTGGCATACACACGGGCGCACACTTACACACACACTCACGCGCAGGCACAACGTTGGCAAATTTGTTTGAATTTATGCTTTAGGAAGCGTAAAAATCGCCAGCCAAAGTGCTTTTTGACGCTTTTGTTTGCACCACTTGCATTTTGTGCAGCAATTTTTGTGTAAAATATTTGGGTGCAAAATTTGTGATAAAAATGTGTTTGCATAGGATAATCTTCTTTTAATTCAGGTGGTAAATATTTGACAACATAATGATAAGTAAACAGCTTAACGGGCCTCTAATAGATAAACTATATAATAAATTGGGTTATGAGAAGAATACTTAGCTTCTAAATAGTTGAGTGCTGAAATTATAAATTGAACCAAATCATCCCAGATAATTGATGGTTTGTTTTTAAGATGTAAGTTTCATCGGTGGCTTGATCTCTACTAAATTGATAGAGATTATATGTATTTAAATATGCTATTTGAAGTTAGTCTAGCCTTAGATCAATTTTTGCTTGATTAAATAAATATTTACAAGAAGCGCGTGAACCAAAGCTTAAACAGAATTGTAACGCGTTAAACGGTTGGAAAACGACAAAGAGAGCTTTACTTTTACTTTAGCCAGTTTTACAGTCAAAAGGTGTTTCCCTCACAACTATAAAAAAAACAAATGCAAATACGCATTTTGGTGTTTTGTTTCCTAACCTATTTATTCAGGCTGGTTACTACCCTGAAGGCCAGTAAATCACTAAGAATTTGGTTTGATATGTAGCTGTTCTTTAGCAACATTCAAAATTCAAAGATAAAATATAAGTAATAATTTAAATAATAATAAAAAAAATATTAATTTTGCCAAGCATAACTCTTCTGAAGCGCTCTTTACCCAGCTAAATTGGTAACTCCTCTGCCGATTATAAGCTAAATCTATATACCTTAGCAGACACCATATAAACTTGTGCAAACATTGCAATGCACATACAAACAAACACACGCTCAAAGCTAATCAACAAAATTTCCACAGTTAAACGTCAATGCGGGATAAATTGAGAAAAATGCACTTTCAAACATTTATAGCATATTTTCAATAGGAAAAATTCGTTTTACTATAATTTTTTTTCCCTCTTGCCCACTTTTTGCGATATTCATTTGAAAGTCACTCGATGCTGGCCTTTGGCAGCATGGCCGGCACTCAACGGCACTAACATACCGATAAACACTGCCATTCACACACACAGGCACACACACACTAACTTGCAAATATTGCCATGCGCTGAGCGTCGAGCGTCAAAAGTCATTTGGCCAAATAGTGCTGCATACTTTTGTGCGCGCGCTTTCAAGTGCGGTTATTGGCGCGCTCTTAACATACTCTGCCGTCGAACAGGGATGTGGTTGGGGCTGGGGTTGCCCAGCCATGCCCAGCCATGGCCTTTGTTAGCCTAAAGCCCAAACAACAAGTGCTTTGTAATTACAACGGCAGCAAAAATATCAACAACAGCAGCTATAAAAGCGACAGGCAATTACAAAAAATTTAATTTTGATTGGTTGTGCATATAAATAAATGCCATATAACTAGAAATGTTTTAGTTTAGGGTATATTCATTTTGCCCCGATAGGTAGTCAAAACAACATCTATACATTACTGATCAGCATGTAACAACAAGTTTATTTAGCTCTGTCTGTTTTTGTCTACCTTAGCACAGAAAAATATTTTTCAACAGAGCAGTGAATTCCGCCAAAACTGTTCAGCATATCAAATAGCTATCATACGAATGATTTGTCGAAATTTAAGTTCTTGTTAAGAAAACTTTTCGGTTTTTTAAAATATCTGAATTAAACTCATCAATTGCTATGCTCCTAAAGGGGTTAAGTTATTGAAGCATCGAACTATTAAGTATATCTTATAGCTTCAATACAAGCAATCTGATAAAAAAAAATGACATAGTTTGTGATGATATTTGGAGAGCACTTTTTATACTTATCTTTAGTATGCTCTTTATACAAATTATAAAAGTTTTAGTAGTATAATATCGAAAGTTTAGGAATAAGAGTTCGAAAATTGGGCTTATGATGAATTCGTTTTTTTATTTATAAATTTTAAAGATATCATTTTGAATAACTTTACAATTGAGAGCTTTTAACGACATAAAAATGGTATAGCTTATAGCTGGTTTTTGAACATTCTATTTAAAATTGAGTTATTGAAATTAACATTTAATAATGAATAATGGGTATTCGGCATGAAATAAATTAAATTTAATTAAAATAAATAAAAATAGAAGAGTTAATTAAAAAATTGGCAATGAAACAATTTTGATCAATTTAATTTAATCTATACCAAATAATTGCACCACTGTGCAGTGGCTGCAGCGGCACAGTGAGAATGCTTTGCTTTAGCTGCATGTCCACGCCCACTAGCACGCCTTTTAACTGGGTCAGTCGATGATGGTTTGAATGCCTGTCTATGATGGGCATCGACATTATAAACAATTTGCAGCCATTGACGCACTTTAATTAAGCTGGCGAGCAAAAGGCAAAAGAATTTCTGTATAAATATGTATAGCATAGTATTTATCTGCAGCTATAATCTATTTGGGTAACTGTTGGAGCTGTTGTTGTTGTTTCTGCTGCTGCTGTTGGGTATCATATATACGAATACACAAGTTAATTTCATGTTGGCGCAAAGGAAATGGCACTGCACACAAAACCAAAGACAATAGCCAGGCAGGCTGGAAATGCGCGTCTGCAGCTCGAGGACGTTGGACATGTTGGTTGGGGTTGGGGTAGGGGCACAAGAGTCTTGCCCAGACAGAAATTAAATTGAAAATGTGCTACGTGCAACAGCAACAGCAGCCGTGCAGGCTAAAAGGAAATAAAGCACAAGCAATTGCCAAAGAAAAAAGGAAAAAAAACTGTGCAACAACAAGTGGCCAGTGGCAGGCGGGGCTGCTTGGCAGGACACACGGGCAATAGCAACAGCAACGGCAACGGCAACAACAACGACAACGGAAGCTGCCGGTTGCAACCGGCAGCTCAACTGTATTATTATACAAATGCAGGCAGGCCTCTTATAAGTTGGAAATTGTCTCAGATTTAGCAAAAGGCAAAAAGAGAAATACCTGCTCTACAGCAATGGCAACGTTTTAATGCCCTTACCAATACACTAACGAATTTGAGCAACAGCTTGAGCAATAAATTGGGTTGATTGCAAGTATGTGAATTGGAGTATACATTCAATAATAGACGGCTGTTGAATCATTAGAGATCTTTCTAAATAATTATTAAGTATATACTTATTGCCTTATGGCCGACACAAAAGAGCCTCAATACCAAAATGTCTATTACATGTTGCTTTACTTTGCATATAAATTGATTATAAAACTTAACTCAGCTTTGATCAAAAAATAAAAATAACAAAATATAATGTTATTTCTTGGTTATTTTCCTAAAGTCAAATACCTTGAAAATACCCTAATTAAAAATACAATTTGATTAACAATTTAAGAAAAATAAAACAACAATGACAAAAGCAAACGTTTTGCATTTATAATATCTAAAAAAATAAATAATAAAATTGAATTATATATATATATATATATATATATATAAATACCCCGAAGACGGTTGCCGAGGTGCGTCCGAAATCGGAGAAGAAATATATTAAAACAAAATTGTTTTAATTTCTTCATTTTTTATTTTAATAAATTAAACCACGGACATCAAGCCAGCTAATTAAATATTTTAAATAGCAAAACACAACAATTTTAATATTTACAAATCTAAAAAAAATTATATTTTGTTATTGACCTTATTTGGTTAACTTTCATTTATTATTTTTTATACGACCTCCAAAAATAACCCGATTTTTTTTTAAGTTGAAATCAAGTAATTATTGTATATTTCTTGATTAAAGAAATATTTTTTGTAACACGTGAAATACAGAGTATGGCTATATTTGTTATTTTTATAAACGTTTTTTCTAATGAAGTGCATATATGTATCTTATAACATAAATTTATATTATAGATTTATATTATTTATTTTTTAATAAGACTTGAACGTGAACTTTTCTCATGTTAAAATAAATAGTTGTATTTCATTCAATGTAGCATATGTAAAATTTATGCGAAAGTAAAATTTCGAATAGGTTTAAATTTGTACAGTCCACAAACTGTTGCTTTACTTTTATTATTTGGGCAAATTTTTAAAATTGTTTACTTGAATATGTATCATTTGAATGTGGCCCAAAAGGAACCTTAAAATCATTTAAGTGAATCTTTTATACCGTTTGCTTTCGATAAGCAAATTTTGTATGCCTGATGGGTAAAGCATTAACTTTGTTCTGACCTACAGTGATTTCCCCAGTGGGTAGCAAGCGGGCAAGCCTAATCACATAGCTATTATACACTGTGGCATTTGGCTATAAAACGCCAGATGCCGGGCTCTTAAAGCGCCAGACAAACAAAAGGAGCTGTGAGGTGCTGCTTGTGCTTGTGGGTGGGTGGGGAGAACGGTTGAAGCCAGCCACAGCAAAGGAAGCCTTCACAACATTATTTAGGTTTAATCAGCAAAGCAGATTTGCATGGGACAGTTGCCTGTGCAGCAATGAAATAAACCAGCTGGAATTGAAAGATAGAACCCTAGACAGACCCAGACATGGAGAAATGGCTAACTAAACATGCACACACTCACACCAATACACTCAGCTAGAAACATCAAACAAACGGCAATCCCCACTAACTCTTGCTGCAGCTCGGGCTAGTTTGGAGCGGTTCAGTTTCGGTTCGCTTGGCTGGGCCAGGCGCACAAAGGCAAAAACTATTATAAACTGTTGACAACTGGGGAAATGAACTTTTCAGCCAAAATGACAAACGTCCGACAGGATGACAGACTGACTGACCAGTGCAAAACACTCTATGCGGCATTTAAATTAGATGCTGGCCTTTTTTCTGTCTCTCCCAGCGAAAAGGGGACGCACACTGCGTGTCTAAGTAAACAACATGGAAATCTTTTGACAAAAGTGTTAATTAATCAAACTAACTTACGGGAGCGGAAAAACAGTGCTGCGTTTAGGAAAACCGTCGAAATTTAAGAAACCATTTAAAGAAACTATCTTTAATGTGTTTGAAGTAATTAATAAATGTTCAAAAATGATTCTGTATAGTTATCCAAATATATGACAATACGGAATATTTTAAAATAATAGATTATCAATCATTCTGTATAGAACTAAATCAATATTAATGAAAATTTAAACAAGCGAATTCAAAAATAATGCTTACACACCTTCTTTAAAATAAATTTTATCTATTTAAATTGTCATTCTATGAATTCTTTTATGAATTATTTTTGCGAATTAATCTAACAAAAAAGCATCTGCTCTTAATATAATTCAAAGAAACATTTTTTTTTAAATATTCATTAGCTATAATTTTATGGAGCTAAAAACAATAGCTTGGATCAAATATCGTAAAAATTATTCAAATACCATATGATATGCAAATTCACAAGAGCTTATTGCAATTAAACTGTTAATTATTTGTACATTAACCTTCTGTTAATTAACATAACTCTGTAAATAAAACCAAATAGAGGTTTATGTGAGAAGAAAATGTTTTAGAATTTGCAAATTTGGGAAATCAAAATTGACTTTTTCAACCCAAACTAAGTCAAAAACACAACAAATTTCTGCTGAGTCTGTGAGCTGAAAGCATTTATTTCGCTTTCAAACAACAAAAAAAGTATTGGATATAAATGTGACATTTTTTTTTGCTCACAGTGAATAAAAAGCAAATTAAGCAATGCTCGTTGCGAGACGGCAACTGCATTTGCTCTTGCAGGACAAGACGATAAAAAAAAAAAAACGTGTCGGAACACGTTTTCCCTTCGAATCCGGTACGATAAATTGCAACAAATTTTTGTGCGGCATATGTGCGTGTGTGTGTGTGTGTGTGGGAGCATAAGTGGATAAAAACTGGTCCATTTAAAAACGCCTCCAATGCATTTGCTGTCTGCAAAACATTCGTCTGGGTAAAAAAAAAAACCCCAACTTCAGCCATCAAACCAATCTCCTTTTTTTTTATTTTCTTTTCTGATGTCCATCTAACGAAAATTGCTTTCGGTGATTTTTATTGGATTTTCGTATGTACCTAATATGAAATTCATAACAACCAAAACTGCAACTGCCACTGCAACGAGCGACTGTGCTTGCGACTGCGACTGCGAATGCGAGGGCCGACTGCCGACTGGTAGCTGTGCACAGTTTGCATTTGCTTTAGCGCCATTTAAAATATATTTTCAACGCTGAGCTCAACGTTTTTTTGATTGGTGGTCGGCGGTCGGTCTGACAAGCTGTCTTCTATACACTATCCTTGCAAAAAGGGCATAAGACATTAGACATCAACAATAAAGAAAAGCTTAGGTGGGCCCAGTACGACATTGTGATTAATAATTAAAAATAAATAACCCAAAATCCATCATAAGCAATAGAAAATAGTTTCATTTCTCATGCAATAAACATGTTTTTTAATATTTTTCAACACTATAGTACACGTATGACTCAAAATCGTTTTAAAAGCACATTAAAGTTTTCTACGCTTGGAGATAGGCTTTTCAGCAAAAGCTTTCAGCATAAATAGTTTTAGAACGTAATTGTAAATATTTTGAAAAAAAAATATTTAAACGAGCATAAAAGCTCAAAAAAGTAAAGATGTTCAAAAAGACTTTAAGCTTATATTTTAGCAATTCTATATACTCCTATAAATCTTTAATCCGCTCTTATATATCTCTTTATCTCTCCTTTTATTAATGGAAAAAACAATTCAAATAATAAAAGCACATTCTAAATGATTTCTTTAAACTTAAAAGCAAAGCTGGAAATCTTCTTGCACATTTTTTATTAAGTGAAAGCTAAAACTGATAAGCTTTAATTTGCTCTTAAAGCTCTCTTGACATAGATAAGGAGAGATTAAAAAGCAAATTACAGCTTTATAAAATATAATTGAAAACCAAAACTCATATAAAGCTTTAAATAACTCTTAAAGCTCTATTTATCTCTCTCTTAACACAGCTCAATTGAACTGAGCTTAAAGCTTTACATGGTCGACAGCTTAGCAAGAGAAATACTGCCATAACTGAAGCTGTCAACATGTGTCATTTGGATATGTTGTGTTTATATCTATATTTCTCTTAGCATTAAAAAAAGAGTATTTAAAATGAGTATTTTCTGGAAAGGTTTTTCCTATGGTTGCTGATTTAAAATTGGACATTGACTGCAATGAAAATTGTGTGAGATTTAATTTGAACATTTTGTTAATTTTGCAGCGTTTGTTAAATGGATGTCTAAAAATTTGGATATTCTGCTTTCAAAGGTTTTTTTTCTTTGAGTGGTTTTTACTTACCCAGCAAATGCGTTGAGGGACGTGCGTTGAGTTGGCAACTCGGTTGTTGTTGTTGCTGTGGCTGTTGTTGCAGCTGCCGCAGTTGTTGTTGTTTCGGTTGCAAGAGTTGCTTTTGTTATTGGTACACTATTAACTTGCCTAAGTGGTCGTCGTTGTTGTTGTTGTTGTGGCTGCAGCTGCAAGCAAGCGGCGGCCTTTTCGTTTTGGCAATGGAACAAACACAACAAAAATGTTGATGAATGTTCCATAATTAATTAAGAAATTAATTTTATTTAATGGCTTGGTTTTTTTAGCGCTTGTTTTTTAGCGGTTGTTTTTTTCTTCTTTTAGCTTTGTTTAAACTCGTTTAATTTGCGTATTTAATGTCGTGCGTTTAATGTTAAACATTTAAAATTTATTTATTGTTGCCATTTGTTGTTGCATTTGTTGTGTGTGCTGTTGTTGTTGTAGCTGTTGCAGATGCTGAATGATTGAATGGCAGTTGAAATTGATGATTGGGCGCTTGATTGGCTGGTTGGTTGGCTGATTGGTTGAATCGATTTAGTATTTCTGATTTTGGGCTGGGGCGAAATTGAGCTTGCATTTTTTTGTTGTTTATTAGCGTAGTTTAGTGTGTAGATACAAAGATACAGAGAGAAAGATGCATAGGTATAGATGCAAATTAAGCTGGCAATTTTTATTTAACATATTCTCTTTAATTACTTTTACATTTAACTACATTTGCTTTTATAATTACGAACACTTTGTTATTGTTGGATTAGTTTTTGGTTTATCAATTTCCTTAAGTTTTGTTTTTTATTTCAATTTTATTTATTATTGAATCGTTTTTATAGAGCCACTTATTTAAATATTTGCATATCGCATTTACGATTCGATTTTTATAAAAAGCATTATTTAAATTTTACGCATAATTGCATTTTATCTGTGCGGCATTAAAAAAAAAACAAAAAGGAGAGATTAAAAGAGAAATTCGTATGAGTATTCACTTATTTTATACACTATGTATACAAATTTGTAATTGTGAAACATGCAATATTTATTCAAATATCATGAAATTGAAAGTGAAATCGCGAGACGAAACGAAATGTCATGTGGTAAAATGCTATATGATTAATGAAAATGTAACCTTTATATACATATAATGGCATGATTAACATTTGCGATTTATTATATTGCCAATTTAAAATATATGAATATTCATATATTAATTTTTAATATTTATGCAGTTGGAGGCGCACGCTTAAAAGTATGCTATGATTTTTAATGCATTGTATTTCGCATATCCCTTTAAAAACTGTTATCTTAACAGCTCGCTGTTAAGTTAACATAGCGGAAACCAAACACTACAGTCCTTTGTTTTCTCGCCTTAAACACTATATATTAATTAAAGCCACACACATTTTGACTTTTGCGTTTATAATATAATAGATTAATAGTATTTATATATATATGTATACACATATATGTATATAGTATATATATGTATATAGTATATATATAGTATATACATATATTATATATAGATGTAAATATATAATATATTACATACAAATATATATAAATTTTCATATGAAACCCAAAACAATTCTTAATTGAGGACCTTCAGACAAGCCATCTCATTTATCTGCTGCTGATGTCCAGTATGTAATTTGATCATGTTTGTTCCCCCAACATAATAGCTATGAAAATTGATTCCACGGCCAATTTGCTGATGAACAAAAAAGCTGGCCACAAATTAAGCTGCTGCTTTGCAATACTGCACGCAATTTGCGGCATTGCAGCGCACTGTCCGCAAACCATTTATAAGGCCGTGCAAATAAACATCTTTAGCTGCCTTCCTGTTGCATTGTTCAGGCATTACAACACAAAAGCTCATTTATATTGGGCGTAGGATGAGCAATAGAAAATATATAAGAGGATCTACGATAATGGAGTTTGTTTGGGAATTCTAGCTAGTTTTTAATGATTACCCTAGCATTATCCTTTCATATTTCCTATCCCTGTGAACTTCTATTATATCAAATACAAGTACAAATACAATGTCTTGAAAACATTTGCGATGGCGACACTTACAAACTGTCACAGCCCATAAAATTCAATGCAATACAAAAAAAGCAATTTGCCTTGTCACGCCCAAGCTCATGCCCATCACGTGCCACGATTTACTGACAAAGTTTCGAGGGTCGACACTCAAAAACTGTAACGAAAGCAACTAAACATTAGTTTAATGTGACTTCCCCCTGTCCTCTCTCCCCTTTCCCCTGTCCCCTTCCATTAGATAACTATGAGTACTATGAGTACTCGTCCGTTTGGATAGCTGAGCGCAAAGTTGAGCAAAAGTCACTTTAAGCACCAGCCATTGAAATTTCCGTTATGAGAACCAACCACGAACCGAAAAAAGAAAAATAATAAAAGGATAACAAAAGTGGTAAATGAGATAGGGCACTGTAAAAGATCAGGGAATACCCTATAAACAATTTAAGTGCTGTAAAGACAGCATTGATTATTTGAAATTTAATAAAGATAAATCTGTAGTTCGGAGTCGTAGCTTGTCATAAATTTCTTAAGCGTGTGGTTGGGCTCTGAGCAATAAAACATAGCCTGGAATCAATTAATATAGCTTGAGATCAACTTCGATGCTTTTCGAACGGTTAAACTTAAGCTCAAACATAAAGCAAATGCTGGAATCAATAAATATTGAAAGGCATTGAGCTTAAAGGTAAAACTTAAATCAAATTGAGAGAATTTAATAAAGAGTTGCAATATCGTTGAGTGCTGTATAAATCGAAAAGGCTTCGATATGTGAAGCGTTTCAGTGTTGCACAAACATCAACGATTCAGAATTCCGCACAAGCAGCTAACCGTGCCATTTCTCTAAGGCTATCTACTTCACCGGGCTGCAAACTTAATACACCTTCTAAATACCCTTTTGGGGCATAAAAATGACAAAAAAGAGTTGAGCCACTGTCCAAAAATGGTGAAAAAAAAGATGAACAAAAAAGAACAAGGAAATCACTCGGCTGGTTGGTCACTCCTGTCTTTGGTGCTTCGTTTGTTATTGTTGGTGTTGGTGTTTGTAAAGAGAGTTGTTATTTATGACAATTTCATTGTCTTGTCTACTCGCTGCCCATTTTACTTCCGCCTTTGCCTTTTGGTTATGCTTGGTCCGACAACAGGATACACAAAAAGGAGGAGGAGAAAACGTCACTAGCTCTGGCTTTGCCTTTGTGTAGCATACTTTTATGCGCGCGGCGTTATCAAACATTTTCCGCGCTGTTACGCATATTGATACCCTACAGCGCCATGCAAGGATAGGGTATATACAAAACAAAAAAAAACATTTTTCTTGTATGCCTAATATGCTCATGAGCTGAGAAGCTGTTAAGTCTTATGAATATAGAAAATGTGTGAGTATCTGTTGCTTTTTGCAAGGAGCAGGAAAGGAAATTTAAAAATTGTTTAGTTCACACTTAAAAACATTTGGAAGGTTTTCTAATCAATCATCTTCTTCTTTGCATTTAGGAAATTTAAAAAATATTAGCAGGAATTAGCGGACAGATATTTAATGAATGTTTCCTTTTTTTGAGAGATATTCACTTCTGGACGAGAAGTTATCTACTTTCTTATCTTACTATAGTTCTCTTAAAACATCTACATTTATGTATTCAAATAGAAATAATTTACCTAGTCCAAGTCTCGGAAATATACTATATTCAGAGTTTTCTTGTTCCCAATCCTGGATATACACTATATATATGGAATAAAAAAATGTATGTATGTTTGTATTCAATCATATATAAATCATTTATATAAGTATTTCTATACAAAGTGAAGCTTTTTGCACTTTGTCCAACTATTCACTTGGTTACTTATATGGGCATAGAAATATTTTTCTGCTCCTTAATCTTAGACTAGACTATTTTTCAAGTGTTGTTTAGAGGGTGTCTCAAGGCACTTGTCTCTAACTGAGCTCATGTTATCACTTGTGTGTATTTTTTTACGCCTCCTGATTTAGACAGCTTTTTAAACAGCTCTATCTCTGTTATGTCTCGATGGTGTGTGAGAGAGTGTGTGCGTGTGTGTGTGTGTGTGTGTATGCAAGTGTGTGTGTGTGTATGCTGTCTGTTATCAGTTCAGAGAACTCAGCGTCCATTGATGGAAAATTTGAGTGCGAATGGCGAGAGCTGGCTGAGTTTTATTTTATTTCGTTGCTTGTGAGTTTGAGTGAAAAAATGATTGTAGAGCGCTTGGAAATGGCTCAGCCTCTCAGACGAGCAGCCGAACTGTGTTTACACTTGGAAGCGAACGAGACGGCGACGAGGACAACGAGCACTGAGACTGCCAATTGTTGCAAACGGCAGCCAGTCGGGATAACAACCAGCCAGCCAGTCAGCCAGCCAGGCAAGTCCTGTGTACCTTTTTTTTCTGCTGGCTCTGGAGCAGAGTACTTTTTGGCCAAGAAGCTGCGGCGCATACAAAAAAATATTTATGTATAAGTACTTCGAGCTCGGGCAGCAGTTGGCTTAGAAAATTCTTTGAACTAGTGCTTGAAACAATTTTGGGCCTTGGAATTCTATTTAATTAACCCTTGGCTGGCAATTGTCATAAATCTGCGCACACCTGCAAAAATAGTCCTTTAAGTGTTTTATGGCTGGCGCATGTTATCGAAATATGAGTTGTTGTTGTCGCTGCTGCTGCTGCTGCTGCCCCAATTCGCCCCACACGCAAACACATACTCTAATCGACACTCGGCAGCAACAACAACAACAATAGACGCGCACAAATATTTGCAACTTGTTTGCTCTGCTTCTGCTGCTGCTTTTTCTCACCCCTCTCATATTTTGATGATTAGAAAACGCTTTTGATCTATGATGAGAATCTGTTAACCAAGCGTGCAACACTTTGCGGCATGCAGCAGCAGCAACCCTAATCAGACATAATGAGCAATTAAAAACTTTTTTCAACACAATTTCAATCGTGCCACTTTACTGCCGCACTGGTCTGCCACACTGCGTGGCCATTAAATAGCAAAACAACAAAACAACAAAAGCAGCAACAACATAAACTTGGCTGAGAACGTGTCCTGTGCCCGGAGTTGAGCCGCAGCAGCTGCAGGGGCAACAATGATGGATGCGAGCTTAGGCAGCGAGAGCTCCATGGTTTGTTTGGCTGCACGTTGCCACATGTTGCAGCAACCACTGTGGCAGCAGCTGCTGCAGCGACATTTGATTGTTACAAATTTGTTGGCGAACTTTTAATACACCCCAGCAGTTGCTAAATAAATTAAAATATATTTTTTTTTTAAGTTAATTGAAAAGAAAATATGTTAAGGTTAACAAAAAAATTAATAAATAAAACTTTTAACCTTTAATAGTTTTGTACAATTAAATGTACATCGTTAGTTCTATATAATATTAGCAATTTTAACGTAAACTCACAAATTAATTATTAATTTTTTTTTTAATAATAAAAAAAAATACACACTGTTTGTTTTTCAAATTTTTGTAAGCTTTCTAATTATTTTTTCAATTTATTTTTTTATACCATGTGTTATTGTATTTTTTTTGAAAAACTTAAAATTTTTAAGAAAAATATGTTTGCTGGTCCTAGAACTATTTAACATAACATATATGAATATCTAATTCGTGGGACCATTCAAATGTTCACAAAAACAAAACATTTATCTGAATT